TATGTATTTTTTAAATTGGATAGCACCTTTTACTTCTTTAAGGTATTTAGATATATTTTTATATTAAATGTATTTGCTATGAATTGGAGAAGCTTTAGGATTGCCTCTAAGATAATGAGCATATCCTATCCTATGAATTTTATTTTAGCTTACAGTTTTTGACCCTTGGCTGTTTGTTTTCATCCATCCCCTTGTTTTAGTATATTGATCAAATACTGTAGTGCTCTCTTCTGTCAGAAAACTGACTCCTCTGTTTTTCTTGGATGTATTCTATCTTCAGCTGTCAGTACCTTAATATTTATCCGATTCTTTCATTTGGATTTTGGGTTTCCCAACACATTTTGCTCCTCAAATTAATATTTTTCAGATCCTCAAAAGAAAGATTCAGAGACCAAGACTTAGCACCACGTGACAGAGACAGGAATTCAAGAGACAGATCACCTCGTGACAGAGATCGAAAAGATAAGAAGCGGTCCTATGAGAGCGCTAATGGCAGATCAGAAGACAGGAGGAGCTCTGAAGAGCGCGAAGCAGGGGAGATATAATTAGCTGTGTACATATCCTCAACCCTTAAGCTTCCTATGGAGTTACATACTATTGTTTAGTTTGCAGCTGTTCGGGGTGACACAGTGAGCAGTTCCAGACACCGATCCAGCTAGGCTAGATGTACAGTATCTAACTTGATCTGAACTTGTTTTCCTTGATGAAGCCTAAAACTACATCCATAGTTTCTGGTGACCCTGTAATACAATTCTGAAAGTACAATTTTATATAATAAGACACCAGTGTCTTTATTCTTTGTAGTAGGAGTGGTAGTGAATGAATTGTGTTACTTGCCTTGGGATTTTTTGACATTTGTAAAATGCTGTCTTCCTTTCTTGTCTTGGAATTTTTCTTTTTAATTATTCTTTCTTTGACTTTTGTATCCCCTAATACCTCCACGCTCTCATTATAAAAAAACGGGGGCAGGGAAGCAATATAACTTCTGTTCCGAGGTTCTGTTCCCATTATTAATTACTAGCTGATGACAGTTCAGAGCATTTATACTGGAATGTGTGCAGGAGAAATTTAAAATACTGGGACTTTTGTTTTATTTTAACAGTGCCTATTTAGAGTTGGAAGTTGAACAGCTGTTGCATTACATACTTTGCTTTTTTATTGAAATTTTGAAATCAAACATGTCTTGATTTTTTCTGTTCTATTGAATTGCTATGTTCAGGATGTTTTGGAAAGGTGGGTGGGGGCAGGGACTATTTCATAAGCACTTCTTTTATTTTGTGTGTGTGGAGTATAAAGACTACACCCTTACTGTAAAAAATAATAACAATAAAGTGAAAGAAACAATCACTACCGCCATAATTCAACTGTAACTTGTAAATTGTCACTAGAACTATTAGCTGTGGGCATTTTCTTCTATCGTTAATAGTGCCTATTGTGCAAGGCACCAAATGAAATATATACTGCAAAGATTCAAGACGAACTGTTGTTCCTCCTGGGCCCCTTGCCGACTGTATTCCAGCTCCTTCAGGGATGTCTGGAACAACTGCTATAGAGAAGGACCGGACCTACAGAAGAAATTGGGGTTTTTGTTTGTTTTGCTTTTTCATTCAGCAAACTGAAATAAAAACATGGTGTAACCAACGTAACGAGACTAGCGATCTCCTGCATTGAAGAGCTGTATACCCACTAGTGATTTAAACAGTAGTTGACAAGTATCAGTTGTGATCTTAGAAAATCTGGAACAAAAGTATGGTAAGTAATGGAATTAGTGTCTGAATAAACTAAGATCATCTTTCAAGAACTGTGTCTGTCTTTGGTCCCCTAAGACAAATTTGGTGTGACAGGAATGCAGACCTCAGACACAGGGAAACTAATATTCTGAGTGACGTCAGATTTACATCCAAAAGGGACACTCATCAGGTTCTCAGTTTGCCAAGCTGTGCCTCAGTAACAAGGTTTCTGCCTTATTTGGTCCCACACATTCAGCTTGTACAGTTCAGTCTCAGGCCCATCTGCATTGGTGGCCCCTTCCCTTTTATTTATAGTTACTGAGAAATTGTTTTGTATCTGTGTTCTAGTAGTCTGCGCCATTCTCTTAAATGCTTGTAAGCTCTTTGGCTTTTAATACCTTGTGTGTGAAGTGAGGTCAGAAAGGTTATTAATAAGCTCATAGGTGCAAGGAAGACAGTCTGGGACCTGACACCTTGAGGTTACTGATACATCTGGAGTTGGATACCAAACTCCAAAACATGCTTGACGAACATGTTTTAGCATTATGTTGGTATAATTGGAATTTAACACTTATCCTCTGCCTGATTGTATAAATGTCTCTTTTATTAGCTATTGCTACAGCTGTTATCTGTAGGCTGTACAGGCTGCCTGACCATCAACAGGTTGGTGGTAGCCAGCAAAGGACATCATCCAGGGCTTTGTGCATGTGGGTCTCTTCAGCCACCGGATCTTTCAGTGAATCCCATTAAAAAGTCATTTTAGAACAAATCAGTTGCTTAGATACATCTAGTATTTAGGCTTTGAGATAAGCAATCTACATTTTTAATAGTCATGATTGAGGCAGGGCAGCCACTCAGAATAACCCTGAAATGTCAGTGATAAAATCTGTCTCTCATATGGTCTTTTGTACTTGCGTTAGGTGATGACTTAAGTACACAGTGTAAGTTTAGTCATGTATCTGCAAAATGCCTGATGCTCTGGAGATGTTATGCTAAATATTTTCCTTCTATACGGCCTTCATTTTGCTTTCATCAAGCATTCCCCCCAAACTGCTTTGCTGAGCTATATCAACTGAAACTAAAAGAAATCCTCCATTTCTAAGTCAACTCATTTTTTTAAGACTTTACCTCTAATAACCCTAAAACAAAGACTTTTATCTTTTGCAAGTTCCCTTTTAAGAGTCTGTTTTTATAAACTTTTAAATAATAGCTTTCAGCGTTATCCCTTTGAGCCAGAACTAAGTGTATGTTAGTTCAAATACTTATATTATTAAATGTGGTAACTTTGTCAGTGTGACAAATGTGGTGATTTGATAGTCAGTGTGGTACCTTTCAAAATGATAGTAATGGCCTGTCTTCATTATATAAATTTTTATAAATCTTAGTGATGGTTTTTAAAGTTGAAAATGTTTAGTTTTCAACATTTAAAATCTAAGTAAATATTACATAGTTTAAAAAAATGTATATATTATGCAAGGTGGGTATTAGGTAGTATGTACTGGTTTGGCTGTACAAATTTGTTCAACCATTGAAATGTGCCTTTAAGTTGATAAGTAGCTGCTGCCCTGAGCTTTTTGACTGCTTTGCTAGACGTGAGATCATCCTCACATCCCAGGGTTGATTTTTGGCAGAGCTGAGAACCTTCAGAACTTTAGTCGACCATAGTGAGCTATGCTAACTTACATATTTTGAAAAACATTCATGTCTGTTTTTCCTATCTGAAAGATCAAAGCTGTTTACATCATGATTTTATTATACCTTGACTGTTGATATTTGTATTTGCCTAGGATATAAATAAGGCAGTACAAAGTTGCCCTCTATTTTTCCTCCCATTGCCCATTCTAATCTTAAAAAATAATCCCAGGCTCATTGGAGTCAGGAAAGGCTGAGAGAGGTTTTGATGGCAGAGACACAGGGCTACTGGCATAGTTGTCCTGGGGCCAGCAGATGTTTCCAAACTAAGGCATGCCTGTGTGTTCTCCCAAGAGCCAGCAGTAACCAGGATGTCAATCATTATGGGTCTACAAGCATGTCTGGAGGGTCAGACCAAAAAATAAATGGCCAGCAGAGCTGAAGCAAGGCATTCAGATTCAACTGAGATCTTGGTCAAGGATCCAGCAAAGAGGTGAGATAATAGAGGAGAAAACAAAGGCCGATGCCAGCCCCAAAATGTGTTACTGATACTGCTTTGGGGGAGTGGCTTTCAGGATCCCAAAAGCAGTGCACTCAGGTGGTTGAGTTCCATGTAACAGCTCCTCTCTTAGGTTAGCACCTGAACCTTTTGTCCAGATGAAGAGAATCCATTCAATCTTGTCTATATAGAGCAAGGCAACTTTTCCCAGAAGCCTCAGACAATCTGTATCTCTCTGACCCAAATTGTGTCATGTTCCCATTTGGGAACCAGCTGAAGTGAGCAGAATGATGATATCCTTTATTGACTTGGGCCTGTGAACCAAACCTTGGCCTGGGGGCATGGATGCAGGGTTAGCAGGATTGTCTTAGATGTGTCAGGTGCCCCCCAAGTTATCCCTCCTTACCCTCATCCCCAAACTGGGGTCAGTGCCAGACCACGTGGCTATACCGTGGTGGTGGGCAGATGGAGAGACAACGCCTGAGTCTCTAAGGCTTCCTTTGCCTGAACACACCCTAGTGTTGGCAGCCAGACCAAGTGTCAAGGCAGAGAATGGACCTTGTTTTCTGCATCCTCCTAAGCCTGGTACAGAGACACTGCTGATACTCAGTGAACTATGTGTAATTAATTACTCAAGTGCCTCATTGTTTAAAACATGATCTCACTTGATTCATACATGGCTGTAGTACTGGCAGGGGTGGTATCCTATCATTACACCCATTTGGTGTGGGGGGCAGGGTGGGATGGGACTAAGCGACACAAGTGACTAATCAAAGGCAGCTGTCTTTTTTCCTGAACTTGAAGCTCTTCCTGGCTATGACTTTGCAGGTATGCCTGAGCTAGAAGAGGCAAGAAGGGACCAACGGATATGTCCCAAGAGGGAACAAAGAGCCCAAATGAAAACAGAGTAATAGCTTTATATAGTGTGTACCATTTAAAAGACCCTTTGTACAGTCTTTACCTCTAAATCTGAGAACAGATGAAAAGCCCATATTTATCCAAATTGGGATATTTGAGTTACATGTTTTAGTTACCTGTTCTGTTTTTTTTAAAAGAAAGTTTGGTACAAATTCCTTGAAATCAATGTTAAAATCTATCAGGTGATGAAATATGAAGTACCCAGTGTCATGAAGTATTAGAGGAACATAGTTTGCCTGGGGTTGGAGGTTAGGGAAGATGTTTATATTGAACCTAAGTCTTCCAGTTTATAAGGAAATCCGGAGTATTTGCCATTCTACAAGACAGAGTGGTCTCTTCATAAAGTCCATGTTATAGAAGAAAAGTTGTATGTTGAAAGAGACTGAAAAGATAACCAATAATAACACGTAAACCCTGATTGGGTCTTTGCTTAAAACAATGAACAGCTGGGGAAATTGAAACATGGATTGAATACGAACTTAAATGTTACTTTTATTGAGTGTAATGGTGGAACTGCAATTATCTAAAGCATACCCTTCATTTTAGGAGCTGTATGCTGAACTATTTGGAGGTGATGAATGACTTGATGTCTCCAACTCATTTCCAAATGGTTCAATTTCATATGTATACACAGCTGTTAGATCTAGGGAGAGAGCATATGGATGTTCATTGCATCATTTTTATTAACTATTTTGAGAATTTTCATAATGTTAAGAGATAACTTAGATATTCCAGAGATAACTAAGATAACTTAGATATCTAAGATAACTTAGATATTTTTAAATCATCACTTTAAAAGAAGCTGTGTCCTGGCAGGCATATGGGTCTTTCAGGCAGGTTTTCTGGACCATCAGCATCAAAGTCACAGAAGAAAATACACAAATGGCAAATGAAAAATGAAAGGATCAAAGCTCATCAGTCATCAAGAAAATGCAAATGAAAACCGCATTGAAAGACTACTTACACACCCACTAGAATGGTTAAATGTAAGAAGATAAGCAACTCCAAGTGCTGAAGTTGTGGGGCAACTGGAACTTCAGTATTTTGCTGGTGGGATTGTTAAACTGATACAGCTGCTTTGGAAAACAATTTGATAGTTCTTATAAATTAGACATAGTCTAATCATATGACCCATCAATCCCGTTCTCAAATACCCAAGATAAAAGAAATCCAATGTCCAAAGATTTGGTATTTGAATGTTACAGCAGCTGTATTCATAACAACCAAAACCTGGAGACACCCAAAATGTTACCAACTAGAAAATAAAAATTGTCATATCCATCCAAAGAAAGGAACTACTGATATGTGCAGCAACATGAATAAGTCTTTAAAATATGCTAACAGTATGATTTTTATATGAAGTTCTAGAACAAGCTAAAAATCTTCAGAGGAACATAGTTTGCCTGGGGTTGGAGGTCAGGGAAGATGGACTTCAAAGGGACATGAAGGAACTTTCTGGATTGTTGGAACCATTCCATTTCTTGATTGGCACTGGTTACATGGGTGCCAGTACTTACCAAAAGGTACTTGAATGGGCACATTTTTTGTGCAAATGATATATCAAAACTGGTCAAAGTATATATATGCATATTTTTTTCCTGGTGGCAATAGAGGCTCTTAGATGGGGTTTCTCAAAGTGCAGTTTCTGGATCATCTGCATCAGTATCACCAGGAAAGCTTGCAAAAACCTGATGCAGGGGTCTTGATCCCACCTCTGACCCACTGAGTCAGAATTTCAGGACTTGGTGGAGGATGGGTTGGGTGTGCTTAACATGGACTCTCCCACAAGCCACATGTCCAGAGCTGCCCCTTGGGGGCTACCAGGGCAGCCTGCGTCAGAGGCTGGTCTCCAAACAATAGCAGCTGGCAGTGCCTAGTGGGAAAGGAGGCTAGAAAGATTACTCAGAGGAATTCCATGCAGACCAACAACCTGCTGTGTAACTTTTCCAGCTTCTGGCTATAAAAAAGGGCAGTCACAGGAATTCATTTCTGAAGCTAGTAATCCTTGAGTCAGGCTGCACATCAGTCTTTTTTTTTTTTTTTAATTAAAGTGTAGTTGATACACAATCTTAGGTTAGTTTCAAAATACAACACTGGTTCGACCATAACTTATATTATTAAATCCTCATTACCTCTAGGGTGGTTACTACATACCAATGTAAGCTAGTACAAAATCTTTGACTATATTTCTCCATGTTGAACTACTGTCCCCTTCATGTTGAACTACTGCCAACTTACATTGTGATTGGTGCACATCAGAATCTTGTGGGTCTTTTTAAAAAATTTAATTTCCTTTTTATCAAAGTAGTGCATGAATTTTTTAAAAATGTGAGTATAGTTTTTAAGTTAGTTGTAGTCAAGGATGTTAAAATCAGTCCCTCTGTAAACTCATTCCTGTTCCTGGAGACAGATACTTAATTTTTTTTAAATCTTAAGTGTACAGCTTGATGAATTTTTATGACTATTCACCTGACATCACCCAGCTCAACAGTGGTACCCTGGTGCCCCTTTCCAATTAGTACTCCCCTCCCCCAAGATAACCACTGTTCTGACTTCTGCCAACATCAATTAGTTTTAAGGCAACTACTGTAATTTTTTTTTTTATGTCTCTTCTAGTACTTTAGAGTTCTAAGTAATAAGCTTACACTGCTGTTTCTTGGTTTGCCAACTTCGGACAGTAACTCGGAGCTTCCAAGTATGGTAGATCAGAAGCTCACTTACTCCCCTTCTTCACCAAGGTAAGCTGCAAAACTCAGATTCCAGGCCTTTAATCTCCAAGGGGATTCTACGTGGCATGTGGGCAAGGGGGAGCCCCAAGCCTGCAGTAGTTGACTCTGAAGCTGGGAAGAGCTGAAATGCTCTGGATGTTAAGCCTGCCTGATACACCAGACACGGGTTTGCATGGGAGGGCTTTGAAGTGAGCTGAAGTTGGACATGCTGTCAAACTCGGATGAATTTGTGGTTGGAGTAAGTAGAAAGCCATGAGAAACACCGAAGCTTGGTAAGGTAAGGCTTGTATCATTTGTTGATTACGCCCCTAGGCCTCTCCATCCCTTTCTCCCAGACAGCCTACATATTCTGTACGAGCTGTTGGTTAAGTGGACCAGTGAAGGCTTCTCTGTTTGAAGGGAATTTGGAAGCATGGTCTACCTTTAAAGAGGAAGGCTGACTTGTACAGGACAGTCATGTTGAGTGCTCAACACCAAGATAAGACACAGGTAATCCTGCCATCTGGAGAGGTCTGTACAGGCGGGCAAGAGTAAACAAGCCCTTTCGGCTTGCCTGTTGGCAATCCTAGCCCAAGACAGGCCCTTCACTGAACCCCAACACACATCATTAGGTTGGTGCCCCAACAGTTGGGGTGGAAGACCCTTCTCACATTTCTCCAATTAACTTCCTCACGCAGCCCCCATGTTTTGCAGTAACTTGCACCACATGCCTATGGTGGTGGTGATGTTGGGTGGAGGGGCTGGGGTCTTGCTCCCTTGGCTTCTTGAACAGGTGTCCCTGCCCTTTGCATCTTCCCAGCTTGAGGCTGAGCTGGTAGGAAGGCCCTGCCAGCCCCACATGCTCCGCAAAGAACCCTTCTCCCTGCCAGCCCTTTGCTAACTCCTAGAGGGAAGGAAACCTCTCTGTCCCCACTTCGAGAGGCTGTTCACTTCTCAACTGGTGTCTTCCAGTCACTGTTGGTCAGCCGTGTCAGCCATGGGCCCAGCTGCCTGGAAATGGCATTTATAGGAAAGATGTTACTGCTGCCAAATCCCATTGCCAGAAAACAATGGAAGATCCCTTTGAAGGGCTCCAGTAAAAACCCAAGCTGGGATCACCTATGACCATGTGTGCATGGGATTAAGCATAGCAGGTAGGAAGAGAATAGGAAATGGCCATTTTAATGATGGAGGAAAATGGCTTGGAAATGCTAAAAAACCATAGCAAGAACACCAAACAAGTCCACTTCAGAAGGTGGAGACTAAAATGAGCACCCAGCCCCAGGGCCCCGGAACGCCACCTCTCCCTGGGTGTGATCTTCCTGCACTGGAAGTCCAGCTCCCTGGGTGACGCAGGGCCTCTTGAGCCAGGAGACCTGGAAGCCTGGGTCTGGGGAGGAAGCTGCTTCGGCTTTCAACTTGGCCACCCCTGGGAGAGCTGCTTGCCCAACAATCTAAGGATGTGCAGAAGCCAGATCACTTGGACCCCTTGGCACAGATCCAGGGTCTTAGAGAAGCACAGTCCAAAGCCACGAGCTTGCCTCCCTGCAGGCCCCCACACTGGAGATCTGGCTTGTCCTCTTCCTCAGGGAGTCTGGGGAAGGGTGAGAAGTTGGAGGGACACTCAGGATGATGGGGCACATGGTGAGTGCTGAAATCACTGCACAGGGATAGGAGTTGTGAGGATGCCCCCCACCCACCACACCACCCCTCGCTTGTCAGCTGTGGGCTCTGGGCCGACCACCAAACCACTCAGTGTGGCACATGCCTCTTGTAGAACAGGGTGACAGCCCTGCTTGGGGAAATGCACTGGGGGACCCAAACAAGGGGTGGGGTGACAGGGACTAAAACCCAGGCCCTGAGCATGGGTGTAGTGGGGTGGGTCCCCCAAAAGGTGCCTGTGGCTGTCAGTGGAGCAGGGGTCTGAATCGGGGGACAGATGGAAGATCCAGATCAGCTGCTGTGGGGACATTGGCAGAGGCGGGGAGGCTCCAGTCCAGGCACCTGTTGTGACGTCACTCTGGTCACGGGAACCCGTGCTAGTGGGTTGGGGACGGGGGCCTCCCACCAAGCCCACAGTCACTCACAGCTGGGGTGGCAAGGGGGCCCCGTCGATCCAGTGCCAGCCCTGGGGGCCTCGCCGGGCCCCTACCCAGGAATACTTGGAGACTGGGTATCTGCTCAGAAAGTCCTAAGGGGGAAAAGCAAATGGTCACTCCTCTCTGGACTACAGAAGTGACAGCTCAACCCAGCTGTCCCTGAGTGCCAGGAATTGGGAAGCTCTGTTGGAAGCCTGCTGGTTGCTGGGCACTGCCCTCAGGGCTGGGGACCCAAATTGGGGGGTTGACCCCATCTCAGCCCTCAAGGAGAAACAGGCTGTGAATGCCAGTCCCCAGCCAGCAACACATGATGGGTTTTGAGTGGACCAGAAGTGAAGAAGCCCTGAGAAGGGGAAATGCTTGAGCAGAGCTGGGAGCCACAGAGCGCATCCAGGCAGTAAGCAGCAAACAGGCGGACCAGCCTGGAGGCGAGGGATGGGCTTGATGAGGCTGCAGAGGTGGCCTGGGAGCCACGGTCAACCTGGGAAAAAGAACATTGTAAGTTGTGGCGTGGGGGCTTGGCAGCGTGGGGTGGACAAGGTGGCAGGGTCCACACCAGCCCTCTTTCCGGAACATGACGGAGCTAGGTGGGAGAGCGGGAACATCATTCCTATCCCTAAGATGGCTGATCCCACTTTGGGGAACAAATCCAAGAACTTAACAGAGAGAAAATGAACTTACCCAAAGATAACACCATGCCATTTATAAAGAAAAAGTGGAAATGACCCAAATGTTCAGCCACAGGAAATAACTAGGCAAATTCTGGGATATCAACATGATGGAAAATTACAGTGCTGTTAAAGATGACAAGTACATAGGAAATACAGTTATGCAGAAAATGTAAATATGAAACATGCCAAGTTAAAAACAGTCTATACCACAAGCACATGTCGCTCACAAGGCCCAGAAGTGTGTATTCACATCAGTGAAAATCAGAAGTGGACTGGTGTAAACAAATTTAACATTACACTCAGAAAACTTTAAGGTGACAAAGACAAAACCTCTATATGTAAGCCCGGGCTTTAGAAAGCAAGCACTGGGACGATGGCTGTGCTCCTGGTCATCCTTCTGGCCTCGGCTAGAAGGTCCCTTCCTGCAGGGACTGGGTGCTGCCCCGGGCTACAGTTGTGCTCCCTCCCTGTGCTGCCTCAACCTTCATAGCTTGGGGGTGGGGGGTGCGGTCTTACTCATCATGGGCTGAGAGCCCAGCACACAGCAGGCCAGCTCAACAAAACTGCCTCCCTGTGCTCACTGCCAGCAACTAGCCAGGGCTGCAGGTAACACACGGGCCATCAGGCCGACTGTGCCCCAGGGGGGTCCGTGCAGACCCACCTTGTCCCCTCAAAGCAGCACCTCCAGTCACCAGCCAAAAGAGAAGCCAGAAGCAGCTTCCAGGCTGAAGGTTGCTAACCTTACCCCTTCAGGAATCCCCCAGGCCGGACTGCATGTGTAAGTGGAGAGGTCGCAGAACAGACAGGGTGCACAAAGCCTGCCGTTGCTGGTCATTTCTTCTTCAGCTGAACTCCACAGGCTGTGGCCTGCGGGCAGGGCCAGTGGGGGAGCTTTGGGGAGGATGAAAAGGAGCCTGGGCTGGCTCTGAGGCCAAGTCAGAGGGTACAGCAGCCTCTCCCTGGCAGCCTGCGGATGTAAAACACTCTGCTGTCCCTTTGCTGTTGTTTTGCTTATTTGCTTTGGCTGATGGAACAGTAGCAGATGTGAAAGTAGAGGCCTTAAATGGTGCTTGGCTCTTGCCCTTCTGCCATTTTTCTTAGGCAGACTTTCAAAAGGGTAAGGATGAGAGACTCATGGAGCAAAGATGAGCCCGACCCGCAGCCTTGAGCCCAGCCAATCTGCCCCTGGAAGCTGGACTGTCCTACTAAACCCAGCCACGATCAGCCCGCCAACAGCCCTCCCACAGACAAATGATCATGGAAGAAATACTTACTGTCTGGAGTTGCTGACAATACCGACTACACTTATTTTCCATACTACCTCCCAGAAAGGACACAGGTGTCTTCACCACGGCCCTGCCAGGGGACTGGCCCCAGAGCTGTAAACGCCTGGCCGCCAGGCTGGACGGCAGCACCCCACTCCAGCCTTCCCAGCTCTGCCTCCACTTCTTAGGATGAAGAGTAAATTGAAGGCCTGGGAGATCTGGTGTCTGGTGCTCCTGCATAGTCACCTTATGTTCCCAGGCCTTGGTGACGTTTCCCATAATGTAGAGTTGGACTAGATCTTTGAAATCCCTCCCTGTGCTAGAGATCTGTGATCTGTAACGATATCCACCCCAAGCCCACCTGCCCCTTCTCACCTGGGTGTGGCTCAGCAGGGGGAGGGTAGCATGGTGGGCTGAGCAAAAAGCGTGGCTGGCCTCCCAGGCCTGTGCTTCGGCAGAGAGGTAGTAGCAGTGCTTCTCAGACCACATCCAGCCCTGGGGGCATGGGCGGCATCTTGCCCCTGCAAACACAGAGACCACCGGTGAGCTTCTGGAAGACAGAACATTGAATGCATGTATGCTAACAGGTCAAAGCCTGGGGTGGCAAGCAGGGTGGGCAGGCCCTGGCCAGTGGGAGGAAAGAGCTCTTCTCCCTCATCTTTGTTCCACAAGCCCTGTGTCTTTGTACTGCATGGGCCCCGGGCGACATCTTTCTCTAATTCTCACAAAGGTGCTGTAAGAACCAGAGCGCCTGGTGGTGGAGCAGGGGAGGAGAGGAGCCCGGAGGAGCACTATACCTGCTCTAGAGGCCAGGACCACAATGGCGACCGCGGACACTGCCAGGAACACAGCCATGACCGCCAGGGCCCAGCGCAGGGACTTCAGGTACATGGGCAGCCCTGGGGGAGGCGGGGGGCAGACAGGTCAGGAAACCACCCACCCCACCCGACTCAGCACCACACTGACTCAGACACCAACATTGTGCCCACCTTAGCACCCACCCTCTCAGCTCAAGACACCTGGAAAAAACACTCAATTTAGGCCAGAACTTCGTAATTAGGAGAAAATTGCTTGCAGATTTTCTGCTTCTTAAGTAACTAGAAGACATAAGACTCTATTTAAGAAAGACAACAAATAATTGGCTAACAACCATTCACTGAGCACTTAATGTTCATCAGACACACAGTACAAATCCCAAGGGCAGGCCAGGCCCCTGCACTCAAGATGCTCACAGGACAGAGGCTCCAGGAGACGGAACTCCAAACAAGAGAGGAAAGAGGGCTCCCTTTGCACTTGGACAGACAGGCCCAGGTTCAAGTCCTGCCTCCATGGGCCCCTCCAGTGATCTTGGTGTTTTCTCATTTTAACACTGAAATCACACCTGCATCTTCCATCTCTCCAAGTCACTGGAGGCCACTAATGAAGTGTTGTGCAGAGAGTGCCCTGCAGTCTGTCAAGCACTAGACAGATGTGTGTTGCCAGCAGCTCAAGGACCTAGGGAGGAGATGGCTGCAAGGAGGCTACAGAGGGACAGAAGGGCTCTCAGGGAGGAGTGGGGTGGGCAAAGGCTCAAATGCCACATCCTGCCCTGTTGATGGAGTAACCAGGGAAGCCAGAGGGGAAAACTTGGAGAATAAATTACAGTAAATGGTTCATCACAGCCACTGACAAGGTACCAGCAGCTTTCAACGGGAAAATACAAAGCAACTGAAGTAACCAAGCTCTCCTGAGTTTGATCTCTGCCCCAGTACAGAAGTGTGAAATCAGTTATTGTTAAGAAGCCAGCTCTCCTCTCCTGGACACCTTGCGGCAAGGGGCCCCAGGACCCACCCGGATCTCTTGGGTAAGGGTCAGGAACACACGCCGCATACTGGTGGACGGTCCTACGGACTCAATCACCATATTTACCAAAAACTGAAATAACGGAGGTAATTCTCTGGCGAATATTACTTTGAAAAAATGAATTCCATTTTAAAAACCTCATGCATATTAGGATATACCCACATATAAATACACACCCAGATAGAACGCATTTCTTAAAGTTTTTAGTAAAACACATTTCCAATCATAATTGAACTTCAGAAGCATAGGCCCTTTTGAAATCCCCATTTTTTTCATTTGCTGTAGAGAAAACACTGGCTTCAAAGACTGGAAAGGGAAGTGTTACATTGATACGTGAAATGTCATAAAATACATGTATGTGTATATACACACACACACACACACACACACAATCTGCTTTTTAAAGGGATTTGACTCAAATTTCCATCAACTGATAAATGGATAACCAAAACATAGCGCATCTGTACAATGAAGCTTATCATTCAGGAATGAAGTGTTGGTACATCTGCAACATGGACGAGCCTTGAAAACTTCATGTTGAGTGAAAGAAGCCAGACACAAAGGGACACAGATCGTATGAGCCCATTTTTATGAAATGTCCACAACAGGCAAACTCATAAGGACAGAAAGTAGATTCTTGGTTGCTTGGGGCCGAGTGCTGGGAGCAGGAGGTAAATGGTACAGCATTCCTTTTTGATGGAAGTATTCTAGAACTGTCTTTGGTGGTACCTGCACAGCTCTGTGAATATACCAAAGATGGCTGAATCATACACGGGACATGGGTGAATTGTATGGTATGTGAATTACAGATCAAAGACGCTGTCACCAAAAACAGGGATTTGAAAATGTTTGGAATAAAAGACACACATAAATTGAGTCTTAAGGTTATAAAAGCAGAACTAAAAAGTCTGGAAAAGAAAAGGAAAATAAATCTACCAATCACCCTGGTAACTACTGTGAGTAGACACTATGTTCATCTCTGACCTTTCAGAAAACAAAGCAGTAAAGAAATACGTATATTACAAAAGCCTGCAATGTTGACCTTGGAAAAGCCCACCCCACCCACCTTGAAAAGCAACGAAATTACACAGGGAACACATTCTCCTTGCATAAAAATGAAAATACAGAGAAAGCCGACATCTCCTTCAAACCTGCCTGCTCCCTAAACCCAGTCCTAGACCTTCTCCTCTTTAAATCAGAGTTTCTCAGTGTCTGCAAACTCACCCAGTCCTACTCCAAGGGTCTTCCACCCGCCCTGAGAACAGCAAGAACATGGCAATAATAATAGACACTTCCCTGCTCTCCAGCACCATCCCTTCTGCCCCCTTCTCTAGCTTCCACCCAATCTCCTTTGCACATCTTGGCCTAGCATCTCTGATGTTACACCTCTGCTTACTTGCTCACTGTGCATCACACCTTCATTTGCTGCATCAGGACCACCTTTCCTGCCCTGCGATGGAAACCAGCTGCCTCCTCCTTGCTAAGCTCCATGGCCAGGGGTGGAGCCAGGTTTTGTGGGACTTAAAAGTTTATTCAATTTGGGGGCCTGTCTTAAGAAATGTAATACAAACTTCCAAATACAAAGTGGGGCACAGGGATTCAGAGGGCTCACGCCAGTGAGAGGCCTTCTTTGGTGACACCTCCTGCGCTGACCTCTGCTCCTCAGAGGTGCCTGAAAAAGCCCAACAGCACCCTTCCTGCCTCCATTTCCTCCTGCACTGCAGCTGAGAACATTCTGCCTGTGGGTCCCACCAAAATCCTACCTCTGGCGTTCTTAGGTTGCCCCACCTCTCAAACCCCCTTCCCCCAGCCTCTGCTCTCTCCCAGCTCATCCCAGACTGTCTGCAACTTTTGCTCCATGCACACGTTCGCCTGGACCAGACTGTGTGCTGCAGCCGGGCCAGTAGGAGAACGGATAGGGGCACCTAATCCAGCCTTGGGGACCAGGAGAGGTGACTCCAGGGTTAAGACTCTCCACCTGAGCATCTAGCTCTGCCTCCCACCTGAGGCTCTCTGCAAACCGATTTCTCTTCCGGGATGCGTGCTCATTGATAACACTCTGTATATCTTTGATCCCTCAGTTTATAGGAGGACAGTGCCTTTGGGACACTTGCCCAAATAAGGTAAGGAGACATCCCCAACCCTTTCCACAGTGGTTTCTTCCCTCCTGGGCTCATGAGGAGGGGACCAGGAAACAGCAGGGTTACGGCTCACTACCTGGGCTTGAGCAAGTCATAGAGCCTGTGCCTTGGTTTGCCCTCTTGTTGAGATAACCAGCTTGACCCCAGGAGGTAAAGGCCATCACAGGCAGAAACCACTACTCACAGCTCCTCATCCAAGCAGGAACCCTCAGACCAAGCCTCAGCCCCGCCTTGGGAACCTCAGGTCTCTTTAATCCCGAGCTCAAAGTGCCAAGCATCAGCATGCACCCTGCTGTTGCTGCCAATCTGACATCTCGCCCTCCCACCTGTTCTTCACACCCCTGGGTTATCTGCTTCAACAGTGGGCACTGATCCCAGGTGGCAACCCTCTCTAGTCATCCAGTCCTGAAGTCCACCGCTCCCCTCAACAAACATTCGACACTGCTGACCACATGCTTCTAGAAACTCCTTTTCCTCTTCAGGTGTCCTGATGTTTTTCCTGCCACTCACATTTTTTCTTTCCCAGTCTAGCTGGGAAAAAGTGGCTAGCTCCTCTTCCTTTAAATGATACCTCTACCTGGAACTCCCCCAAACACCTAATTTGTCTCTCCCACACCTCTTCTCCCATTCTCCATTTTTTAAGGATAACACAGTCCATCATACAGCTCGTTACTTAAGTTAACCAATGCCGGAGTCATCCCCACTCCTCCTGCTGGCAAACCTTCATTGGCTCAGTGGCCCAGCTAATCCTAACCCTGGAACCCCCCCCTTTTCCCTCTGCTGTGGATCAAGGCTTCACCATCTCTTGTTGAACTACTGCTGTCACCTCCTTTAACTAGTCTCTCCTTCAATCTCATGCCTGTCCCATCCTTCACAATGCTGGCAGAACTCACGTTCTAGAGTAAAAACCCAACCATATCACTTCCCCACTAGCTCCTCACCTCCTTATCAGCCCAACTTTTGCCTCATTTACTAGTATAATAACAGCTGTAGACACATGTGGTAGAATAATGTTGCCCCCAAATATGCCCACATCTTAATCTCTGGATGCACAGCCAAGGGAATTAAGGGTTCAGATGGAATTAAGGCTGCACATCTGCTTACCTTGAGATGGGGAGATTTTCCTGGATTTTATGGGTAGGCCCAGTGTAATCACAGGGTCCTTATACATGGAAGAGGCCGGCAGAGGAGTCAGAGACGGCAGCTGGAGGTTTCAGCAGGGTATTGCTGGCTTTGAATATAGTAAGGGCCATGAGCTAAGGAATGTTGTAGCCCCTAGAAGCTACAAAAGGCAAGGAAACGGAATCTCCCCTTTGGCTCCGCGAAGGAACACAACCCCACTGCTTTGGACACCATCACACTTCAACCCACAGAACTGCGAGAGAACAACTTTGTGTTGTTTTCAGCCACTATATGCTTGCGGCGATTTGTTACAGCAATAGAGAACTAGAACACCAGCGTGCAGAAAACGTGCTCACACCAATCTCTGCAAACTTTCCTGATTGCTGCCAGTCCCTGAATCCTACATGTCTTAAGAACTGCTAGCACAGAGGCCCTTGAGATCTGGAGCCTGTCTGTCCGGCCTGCTGCTCCTCTCACCTGGCCAAGCTTTTGGCATTCTGACTGCAGGGCAGCCTGGCTCCTCCTGGCCTCTGTTTGTGCTGGCTCTCCACCCAGAAAGGGCCTTTACCACCCCCAACTCCTACTCACCTTTCAAGGCTTAGCTCCAGGAAACTTTCCCATGTCCCCAGGTTCACCGACACGCCCTCCTGGTTCCCTGTCCAAGATTGTTTATGTGTCTTTTTCTTTCCCTGCCAACCGACCCCTTCCACCCCTCCAAAAACCCTGAACCCACTCCCCCACCTAGCACAGCCTGGTGCCTACACCTCACTGTAGCTGCTGAATAATGGATTTGTGTTTGGGACCAAACGCTCCTCAGTATATTGCGGTGGGAAGTTGGAAGCCTGGCCGGGAGCTTGGCCCAGGGCAGGGCGGCGGTCCCGTCAGCCCTGGGACCAGGAGTCCGAAGACCCGAGTTCCCGCCCAAGCTACCACCACCGTCACGTGGCACTGAAAGACTTCCTGGGCCCTGGCGTTCCCTCCGCCTCTACTTCCCAAAGACGCTGCGCACGCCAGAAGGGAACGCGAAAGCTCTTTTCGGGTGGGGGTTAAACTAGTGGCTTTATTGTCTTCTCGCAAGCAAATTGAATCATCATTACGTAGACCAGAGTTTTACTGATGCTAGGCCCGAGAGGCCAGGGGGAGTCTGGGCATCCGAGGGCCGTCTGCATCCCCCAGTCCGGCGGCTGCAGCGGCCCGGCGGTGGGCGCTCCTGCTGCGTGGCCCGCCCCCGCGGCGCAGCGTGCGCTTACCCATGAGCTTGATGGCCCGGGGCAGCTTCGTGTCTCCGTCCTGCTCGGCGTGGTGCAGCAGGTCGGCGTCCTCCTTCAGCCCCAGCTTCTGGCAGTGGCAGCGGCATGTGGGGGAGCCCGGGGACTCCGCGCGCCCCTCGGTGTCGCTGCCGCGCTCCGCCCGGGCTGGAGCCAGGGGCGCGCCGCGGCCCAACGTGCCGCCCGGGGAAGGCGTCCGCGGCAGGAAGGGGTACGCGGGGGAGGCGTGGCGGGAGAAGGCTGGGGACTCTGGCACCGGCACCGTGAGGAAGCGCGTGGAGGGCGCGGGCGAGGGTGCGCGGCTGCCACCGGCCGCGCCAACGGGCTTCACGCGCACATCCACCTGCAGCTCCATGGGGGCCCAGGCGCCGGCCGTCGGCTCCCCCGGTGCGGCCCAGGGCACCAGCCCTCCCGCCGGCGCCTCGCCGTCCCGGGGCTGCTCGGCCGCGGTGGGGCCAGGCGACGGTGGCTCGGCGGACGCCTGGCGGCGGAAAGCGCCGTAGCCGAGGCTGGGGGGCGGCAGCCGCAGGAGCGCGGGACGAGGCAGCTTCTTCCCGCCGACGAGCTCCTGGCCTGCGCCCGCCGCCTCCCTCACGGCCCTGGCCAGAGCCGGGTTGCCCTCGGGACTCTCCGCACGTCGCTTCTCCGCGGGGACCTGCGGCTGCGGCTGCGGCTGCTCCGGCCCCGGCCCCTGGCTTATCAAGGGTTCCATTGGGAGCTCGGCCCCGCCCGGGTCTCCTCCCGACGCCTCCGGGGCGCACTCCATCTCGCGCACTGAGAGACCGGGAGATGCTGAGCGGAGCACACCTGGGCCCAGGTAGGCACCCGGCCTCGCCTCCCCTGTCGGGATTGGTCACGCGGGGTCAACCCAGTTGTCAGGCCACGCCCCCTCCCCGTCGCGGCCACGCCCTCCGGCCGCTCGTCCGCTTCAGGCCACCAGCCCAGTCTTCACGTGGTACAAGGACACCCAGAGGGGCCGGAGGGCCTGGCTGAGGGGTTACCCGCAAAGGCAGAGCTGGGAGCAGACTGTAACGGAGAACCCAGAACCCCGCCTGACTGCTCCCTCTTTGTCTCTAGCCCCACAGCTCTCTGCCATTTTGCTGGTTTTGAGGGTTACAGCTTGGGGCGGAGGAGCGGTTGACCAAGTATGTGGGGGTCCTGGGACCTCAGAGAAATCAGCGGATCCAAAGGAAATAGGGCGACCTGCGGAAAAGTAGTAGACGGAAAAGTCCCCCCAGTGTGTGGGAGATGGGGCAGGACACCTGAGAGGAGCGGCCGGGGACAGCTGCTCGCGGCTCCTACTAGCCGAACTCATTAATTAACGTCTGAGGAATGAATAAGCAGGACAATGTGTTTGAGTGGTTCTCTCATAGCCACTGGATTGCTCCAAGACTCCCTGTAGATGCCCTAAACTGCGGATAGTACCGAACCCTATACTTAAAATGTATGTCCTCTACATACACACCGATGATAAAGTTCAATTTGTAAATTAGGCAGAGTAAGAGATCAACAATAACAATAAAATTGAATATACTGTAATAGAAGTGATGTGAATGTGGTCTTCGTCTCTCAATGTCCTACTGTACTGTACTCACCCTTCTTGTGATGATGCGAGGTGATAAGATGCCTATGTGGTGGGGTGAGGTTAGGTGAATGATGTAGGCTTAGTTAGGCTGCTAGTGACCTTCTGGTCAGAAGGAGGATCATCTTTCTGGACCGTGGCTGACCACAGGTAACTGAAACCTTGGAAAGCAGCACTGCGGATAAGTAGACTTCATTATTTTCATGGGGAGCGGAGCCCCATCGTTCAAGGTTCTCAAGCCTGGCCAGTGATCTGAGCACCATTAAAAAAAATACAGATTCCAGGCTGACCTACTGAGCCTTATAAGGGGACGAGGGCAATGGTATTTTTAACAAGTGCCCCAGGGCAGGATTGGCAGAAAAACTGCAGGCTCCTCAGTTAAATCTGAATTTCAGGTAAAGAAGAGAGAGTTCTTTGGGATTTATAAGTATGTCCCAAGTGCTGTGTGGGTTTATACTTATATTTGAAAATTGTTCATTGTCTGAAATTAAATTTTAACCTGCTTTCTGTATGTTTATTTGCTAAATCTGGCAATCCCATCAGGGATTTCTGCTGGAGTGGTCTTCGGAGCAGCATCTGGAAAGACTGTGGGCTTGTTACCCAGGGGAAAGGAAGAAAGGGGGAAGCGGAGGGCAGGAGGTTAGGAGGGGAGTCAAACTATGGGAAGAGATGTCAGTTTCTGCCCCTCCCCACCCCCAAGACAAGCAACTGAGGGGGAAACTTCAGTGGACAGAAAGTGCTATATGAAAATATGTTAAGTTTAATCCCTTCAAAGACCAAAACTATGTATTTTTTATTTTTTTATTGAAGTATAATTGATATACAATCTTAAACTAGTTTCAAGCATACAGCACTTGTTCAACAGTTACCCACATATAAATCCTCACCTCCACTCGTGCAGTTACTACCTATCAACAGAGAAAGATGTTACAGAACCATGAAACTATATATTTAATGTGGGGACATATATTGCATATATATGCATTAAAATACATCTTAAAAGATGTGGAATGATACAGTCCAAACATAATAATAGTGGCTTCTACTACAGATCATTTTGGGGGCAGGCAGGGGGATGGTCTGGGAGACTTTAGACCTGTCTGTGTTGTCTCCACTTTCTGGAAAGAATTTATTTTTGTACATTCTTAAATAAAAATCCAATTTTTAAAAAGATGGCATATTGTGTGTTATTTTCTAGGTTACTGTAAAATAAAGGTTACTGTAAAAATTAAAATGGTTCAAAAGTATATAAAATATATATGGAGGTCTCTTCCCTCCATTTCACCTCTCAGAAGCAGCCACTGCCCCTGCTGAGATGGGATGCTTGTCCATTTTTGGTGTTATGTTCTCCTGGGATAATGATTCGTTTCTAAAATCAAGGACCTCTAACCTTAGAGGTGTTTGAACTCAGAGAGAGTCAGTGAGGAAAACACAATGAGTGTCACACTCAGACATAATCCCTGATGGGGGGTGACATGGGGAACACCCAGCCTACCAACCTGGGCTGGGCTCCTGATTCAGAGGTGCCCCAGGGACCTAAATTCCATCTTGAATTTGAACCCTGGGCCTGAGTACCTGTGGGATGCTGGCAGTTGGCACTGGCACTGAGAGGCCAGGAGGGAAGTGATGCTGGCAGCCAGAGAGCGGACAGAAGTGGGAGCAGACTTGGCATGTGGCCCAGGTGACCCACAGCCCTCTCCCTGACCTGCTACACCTCAGGTCCACAGGCATACCTTCATTTCATAAATATTTGGTGGGCCTGTTCTGTGCCTGGCCTGTGGGTGCGTGGCCGTGGCACCTCTGGGGAGCTTTCACTGTGATGGTCTCCTCTCCCTTCAATCTCCCCCTCCCCACTAGTTCTTTCCATCATTAAATGACCAAGCTGTATGCCTTATTGGACCCTATATCCTCCTCCAGCAAACACCTTCTCTATTTCTTCTCATGACTAACCTTGCACAAAAGTATCATCCCCACTTGCTCTCTCCATTTCATCACATCTAGCACACCCCTTAAACCACTACTTTCTGTTTCTGCCCCAACTAGTCTACCAATATTTTCCTTACCAAGAACACCACGTGTCACCAAATCCAGCAGACACTCTTCAGTGCTGGCTTTATCCCTCAGATGCTTTTGACGTTGTTGATCATTTCCCCTCCTCAGAACTCACGCTTCTGTAGCTTTCCTAACACCACGCGCTGCTGGGTTTCCTTTACTCCCCTGCCTGTCCTCCTCCCCTCTGCTCCGGAAGGCTCCTCATTCTCCTTCATGTCTGACTCTCCAGCTCTCTCCAGCCCAGATCTTTCTCCCAACCTTCCTCATAGCAGTTATGCTCTTACAACAGAATTTTGCCCCTCTACCCTACCCTGCCCCAAATTCATATGTTGATGTCCTAAACCCTGAGCCTCGGAATGTGACCTTATTTGGTATTAGGGTTGTTACAGGTGCTGTGAGTTGGGATGAGGTCATCCTGGAGTACTGGAGGCCACAAATCCAACTACAGGTGTCAGTATAAAAGGGAGATTTGGACACACACACACACACAGGAAGAACAGAAGAGCATCATGTAAGCATGAAGGCAGAGATTGGGGCGATGTGTCCATAAGCCAAGGAAGACCAAAGATTGCTGGAAAATGACCAGAAGCTACGAGAGGCATGGAAGAGATTCTTCCCCACAACCCCAGAAGGAACGAGCCTTGCTGACGCCTTGATCTCCAATTTCCAGCCTCCAGAGCTGGGAGACAATACATTTCTGTTGCTTAAGCCAGAGTTACAGCAGCCAGAGTGGACCCACACAAGTCACCAGTCCAGATGGCTGCCTGCCCTCGGGATGGCTCTCCAGGTGGGAGGGTTTGGGGTCACTGCCCCACCACCTTTTGCCATCACTGACCGAGCCAGGCCAATCAGATTCTCCCTCTAAGGAATTTGGCATTTGATCTGAGAGACCCAGAGCTGGGAGTTGTTACAACTCCCAATAGGGCAGCTCTCTGGAGAGAAGACCCACAGACTCCTCTGCAGGTCCCTGCGGTTTCAGCCCTTCCGGAAGCCTGCATGCTCAGGTCTGTGAATTTCTGGGGACTGTTCAGTATCCTCTCCCTCCCTCTCTTTTTTGCCTCAAGTTAGCACATCACTTACCACTCAGACTGTGAGTGGCAGAAAGCCCAGGGCCAACCACCGCTGCCTCGGGCTCCCTGGGCCTCCCTTGGGAGAGGGCTATGCTTTGGAGCAGTTACCATCGATTCACCCACTGCAGAGCCATGGTGGTCCTGGGGTCAAAAGCCACTTACAGCTTCTGTGGTGGGAGACCCTAAGGCAGGAGAATTATCCAATGTCTCAAGGAGGTCAGATCCTCGCTAACCCAAAAGGAGAACAAATATCCACTTCAGTCCTTCCTTCCATACTCGCTCCCACTTTAAAATCCTTTCTTCCTGCTTTCAACAGCAATACATCCATGTGATACAGAATGTAAGTATTACAGAAATACCTACTGTAGAAAGTGAAGTCTCCAGGATTTCATGCCCCAGAGAGCGCCATTATTAACATCTCAATGTACAGGCTTTTGCATCTGTTCTATGTGTTCCTTAACCTATATTGTTATTATATGTATGTATATTTTATTTCTGAAACTTCACTCGTATTAAATGTATACCTTTACATAACTTATTTACACAGTCTTGTTTCCATTTGGGTAACGTAATTGCTGCAACACTGCAAATAGTGCACTTATAATTCAGTGACCACTTTTGTACATTGTTTTTAAAAATCACAACTCTAATGATATCTGCAGAATAGACCCATTAAAGTGGAGCTGCTGAGCCAAAGGGTGCCAGAGCTTCACATGTGGTGGACAGCGTCAGCATTACCCAAACATCTGATGAGAGACTGAACAAACGTTAGCTGAGAGGATTGTTCCCCACAGTCTCCCTGGCTGTGGAGATTGATGTGCGCAATCTCCCTAATCTTTAGCAATCTGATGGGTGAAATATGAAATTTCAACTTGCATTTCTTTAGTTATGAATGAGGTCAACGTCTTTCCATTTGTTAAGTATGTTACTGAGAAGTGTCTTTGCCAGCCTCAGGGCCTGTGTAAAGGGCACTGAAATTCCTTTTAAGGCCGGTTCCAGATTAAGGACTGGTTCTAGGAAGTGGCCCAGCAGGCACCCTTGTCATCCACTCCTGCCCCCACACCACCAAGTGTATTTGTCCAGGGAGACTGATGGAATCTGACCTGTCTGAACAGACCTAAGAGTTATAAAAGCATAAACTAAAACATGGC